ACCAGGACTCCCAGGTCCCTCTCYGTGGAGGTGCTTTCCAGCAGGTCGACCCCTAATCTGTCCTGGTGCCTGGGGTTATTCCTCCCCAGGTGCAGGACCCTGCACTTGTCTTTAGTCCTGATACTTTAGGGCCATTCTTCACGCAAATGACTGTAATCCAAAAGCTGAGGTATTATCAATAWTGAGGGCTTGGCCCAGAGGCAGAGGCTGAAGGTGAGCAGTGGAAATGRGGTGTGTGATACCTGCTGTTTCCCCTGCAGGCAGTCGGTGCCTGTCCAGTTCCAGTACTTCCTACCAACGTACCCGCCTTCTGCCTATCCATTGACGGCGCACACCTACACGCCCATCACCAGCTCYGTGTCTACCATCCGCCAGTACCCAGGTGAGCTCTCCGCTCGGGCCTTGGCGCAGGCTGACCCTGATGCTGGGTTCGCTTGTTGGCTTCCCCTATCCCTACAGTTGGTATATGGGCCAAGAGTCTTGTAGGCTCCATTCTGACAATCCAGGTTTTCGGTCTGTGGTTAGCTGAAGGCAATACACAGGAGTAGGGTGYTGTGAACTACTTCAGAGACCTATGGAACATGGTTACTAACTGTTCTCTTGGGAGGTGTACATTGACTGTCCAAGGGTTTGTACCTCTGTGAAAAGTTTTTGATTCTGCAAATCAAAAATGCTCCAAACCAGCCATCTCAATGTATCTTCACTTCTTGGGGTTCTGGCAAGTCCTTTTTTTTTTTTTCCCCTCTTTTTTTTTTTTTTCTTCCTTGCATCAAGTTATACATTCATGTGCAGTCTCTGAAGCTACTTTATTATGGCAGAAACTGGTGACCTCTCCAACAGAAAATTGGAGGGACGGTTCTGGGGAGGGACATGCGACTTTGCAGAGGACAGCCACTTCAGGGCTTAGTTTAAAGGGGAAAAGGAAGCTTTAAAAAAGCTCACTGGCCTAAGGGATGTTAATGTGGAATTCTGAGGAAGTTTTTTGGCTGGGGCTAACCAAATCCTTGTGCTTGTGCAGTCTCCAAAATTCTGTTGGCTAGAAATTCTGCAACAAGAACATGTTAACTGGGGTGTTTGGTAGCAGAATTTATGTGCCATACTTCTCTCTAGAAGCTATTTTGCAGAATCTGGTAATGGATTTAAGCTTTTGGATAGCAGTTTGCGAGTGGCTTGTGAGCACAAGTTCTTGATGGAAATCCTGTGATAATGACAAAAGCAGCTTGCTGTGTGACAAGAGGTTCCTCATTGTTAGTGAGCAAGGCCACTGTTAACAATTAGCACCTGCTTCTGCATTTGACTGCAGAAATTGTGATGTTTTGTAAAAATCGGGAATCTGGAAATCTAGAAGCTGCAGTCTGCCCGCACTGGTAAACGCTGCCCGTGGCAGCTGCTTGGGAGGTGTGAGTTACGCTTTATAGCAGAGCTGTCAAGACAGAATCTTAGTTGCTCAGAGCTCTAAATACAAATAAACTCATTGAGCTTCTTAAACAGGCGCTTCACAGGACGTGKAGTTCTGCCACAGAAAGTTCTTATGTTCACTTTAGCAGTGGGATTCAGCCCACTAAAGTAAATCCCATTCTGCATCAGATAAAATAGTACTTGGATTCATAAAACTCTTGTCCAGTTACACTAAGGAAAATTTTYCCTGAGTATGTGGCTGGGGGAAGGGGAGAAATAAGTCACCACCCATCTTAAGGTACTTATGTTACTTTTCTTTCCTTATCTGATTTTGTACAGTCAAACGTGTTTCTCTTTTAGTAGAWTTAAATGACCATCTCTGTGAAAGACCGTCTTCTGAAAAATGCCTTAACTCACTACATTTATTTTAAAGCAACAAAACACCAAATGTTGGCACTTACAGACTTTGTAAGATAATACAGGGAGCAAATGCAGTGCACTGATTTCCAAGACTGGAAGTTGACTACAGAAGTGTAACTTGAACCTAATTTTGATAGTAGAATAAACTTAAACTTCGCTTTCTTATAGCAATATCAAACAGAAAGTGGAACTAAATAGTAATATCTAATTCTTCTGGCAGATAAACCTGCCTCTCTGCTGTCCAATTGGAATTTGTTGTTATGCTAAGTGGGCTGGAAAAATATTTTAAAATGAGGAATTACTTTCAGCCCAGTGAGAGGCGCTTGGGGAACCAGGACAAACCTCTGGGCAGGAGTGATGGGATCTCCTTGTTGCTGTTCCCAGTTTCAGCCCAGGCGCCCAACTCGGCAATCACAGCTCAGACTGGTGTGGGAGTGGCCTCCACTGTGCACCTGAACCCCATGCAGCTGATGACTGTCGATGCATCCCATGCCCGGCACATCCAGGGCATCCAGCCGGCACCTATCGGCACSCAAGGGATCCAGCCGGCACCTATTGGTGCGCAGGGCATCCAGCCAGCTCCCATTGGGACYCAGGGCCTGCACCCCACTGCACCCATCGGCACGCAGGGACTCCAGCCGGCACCCATCAGCGCTCAGCAGCCCCAAGCCGAGACCAAGACTTCAGGTAACTGTCACCAGCAGGGGCCCAGCCTAGGCCTGGGCMAAGCAGCTGAGCTTCAGATTGTCCTGCAAGGTGTTTTCGCTTAAGCTCTTCTATCCTGCAAGTAAAGATCTTACTGTGGTCACTGTGGCCCAAAAGCGGATGGCAAATACACTTCTATGTGTACTATTCTAGCAAAATGTTGCCTCTGTAAATGTTACTTCTTATTTTTAACTGTATGTGGCAGTGCATATGGGTAACACCAAAAGGCCCGCTTCACCTGAAAAGTCTGACCAGACGGGTTTAATAATTCTGCTTAGTAAACGCTTGTGGGGAGTGTTAGTTAAAGTAGGTCGCACGCTGTGACCTGTTCTAGTTGCACCTTAGATCRCAGCAGCAATCAAACAATCTGGCCAGGGACCTTCAGCAGTTGGAAACCTCAACTAGTACTTTGCTAGAAACCCTCATGCATGAAAAATGATTGGGCTAGTGAAATCCCWTCGGCTTACTGGTGAAAGAGGATATGGCTGCAAAGAACCTGCTGCTGGCAAAGCTGGCAGATGTGTCGTGTGCTTCCTTCCTGRCTGTCTAACTATCTGTGTCAGCTGGTAGCCCAGTTGGCTGAACGACCCTGTAAGGCCTCGTCAGCTGTTGACGTGCTGACCTGCTGCCGAGTGCCATGTRTCGCCTCGTAGGCACTACTCGGAGTGTCTTCCCCCAAGGCAGTTGTGTTGGTGTCCTCCTGGGGATGGCTGCCTTCCCTGTGTCACCTGGGAAAGCTTTCCCTACTGATGGTCATGAGGCAGAGAGTAGTTTCTGTTTGTCTTACAGAAGGTTCAGGTATCAAATTTGTCTAGTGAAGATAACACAAAGTGATTTGAAAGCCACAGTTGAAGATTGAGGGACTCGAGGAGCACAGACAGCACRTGTTCTACTAACACTCGCCTTGTCACTATGTATCTTTAAATGACTGCTCTTTCTTCTTTGTATCTGCTCCCTTTTCCCTYCCCTGTGTGCATGTCCACCTTTCCCAGCAGTAGTGTTGGCGGATGGAGCCACCATTGTAGCCAATCCTATTAGCAACACATTCAATACAGCTTCAGCAGCGACCACAGTTGTGCAAACCCACAACCAGAGTGGCAGTGCCAGCGCGCCAGCCCAGGGCTCTTCCCCGCGCCCCAGCATCCTCCGCAAGAAACCGACCACCGATGGGTGAGTAGGGCTGACAGTGACACGTAAAGGACACTTCTGTGTGGGCTACCCTAGCTAAAGGGAACAGTTTCACTTCAGCAAAAAGCGCTAGGAGACTTTTCAGTCAGCTGTGGTTGTGAGTGACCTGCTGCTCTGTGAAATACTTTTGTTCTAGCAGGGTAGATTTTGGTTTCCTCTAGCTGTCAGTAATGGGATGTGGAAGCCAAATTGTCCTTCCTCACTCTTGGAAGTGACCTTTTGAAGGATCTTCAAAACCCGTCTGGATGCCGCTCTGTGCCATGTGCTCTGGGTGTCCCTGCTGGAGCAGGGGGGGTTGGACCAGAGGATCTCTAGAGGTCCCTTCCAACCTCAACCATTCTGTGATTCTTTGAATAGGGTTTAGACTTTCTTAGTTTTATTTAAAAACAAAGAGCTCRTGATCTTCTAAAGTTAGAATTCTATTTATTCATTTATTTTTATTTTTTACAACCCACTTCCTCTAATAGGCCCTGTAAGACCAAGAGTGGGTGGTTTTTTTGGGGGGAGGGGTTTTTGTTGTTGTTGATTTGTTTGTTTTGTTTTAAGGCAAGGAAACTACAGGCCTTAAAAGTGAATCACAAATCTAAGAAATGGAGGTAGATCATGAAAGACTTCTCTTCCATGTGRAAGATTATGGACAATAATTTCACTTTAAACCCTAAAGGAAACTTGAGTTGTCTTCACTGTACTTTTTTGTGCTTTGCTTAACATCCACGTTCAGTGCCAGCAGTCTGGGACGTGGGCTGTTACTCGATCTGGTCCAAATCGAGGAAGCAGTTGCCCACCTGGGCGCCGGGTAGTTGCAGCTGGCTAAGTTTCGTGCTAGCAGGGGAGGGCAGTTGCAGAGCTCAAGCTCCCTTCATCTGTTGTGGGATCCTGGCAGTGTCGAGGAGCCTTAGCTGGCAAGGAGGAGGTAAAAACAGCATTCTTGGAGAATCCCTGAAACTGGGTGAGATTCAGCCTAAGCACTTTAACTGTGTTTTCTTTTAAATACAAAATAATAATGCCTTATTCAAAAAGGCATAATGAAACACTATATCACCGTTGCTCTGAGATTAGAGTGGAGAGATACAAATACACTTCCCATTCTGGTTTTGGCATGAGAAAGTAGATTTCTTTGCTCTCAGTGGTATTTGTCTCTATTGGAGAGAGAGAGATACAGATGGAATGTTTCTCTTGCAGSCTGGCAGTCCGGAAAAGCTTAATTCCCCCTCAGCCTTCTGAGATAACTAGCACGCGAGTGGAGAGTACTATGCGAAGCACGTCGGGATCTCCCAGGCCTGCTGGGTAAGGCTTTAAGAAACAAACAACTATGTGATAATGTTCTTGCTGCATTTTTGRTGAGCATTCTTTGGCTTTTAAAATGGCTTCCCTCTGGAAAATTTGAGGATCCATCTTGACTTGTCAGTGTGACAGCTTTGGAGAGACTTGGCTAGTGCTGCTATTGTGAAGCTGAGGCAATAGCCTTTAAAGGGGGTGGTTATCAGCCCTCAAAAGAGAAAACAGCTGACATCGAGTTAAAGGATGTGCCTCAAACTCTRTTACTTGAAAACTACTGCCGAAGAAAGTTCAAATGCAGCTTTTAAACTGCTTTAGTTGTATTGTTTTAAAACTAGTGAGAGCTGTTGTGAAACACAGGATGGAATGGAAAATCTTTGGGTAAAAATTTCTCATGTTCATGTTGTGAAAGTATCTTGCAACTTTCCGGAGCATTCTGAATTTACTGGGAGCTAGTCATGAGATTTCCACTTGCTCTAGCAAGCAAGGTAATAGCATCTCTAACAGACACGAGGGACTTGAAAGAGAAGAAAAGTGAAGCTAAGACTGAAATTTCAGAATATTTCAGAATATTTCAGAATATTTAAATGATACAGTCTCTTTGTTCTGTTCCACATACCACTGAGCTAGGTGTTATTTCCTGGGGAAGAAAAAGTGGCTAGTGTGAATCCAGTGCGTCTTGTAATGTTTTTGTGGTATAAAGTCAGGACAGCAGGACTCTAGGGCAGCGATGCTTAGGGCTTTTGCCTCTCTTGCTACAGTGCCAAGCCGAAACCTGAAATCCACGTGTCCATGGCGGCTCCCGTGACGGTGCCCATGGAGGCAGTGTCGAACCAGGGTGGCGAGCAGCCCACCATCGCGGTGCCCCCCAGCTCACAGCAGCCRCCCTCCGCCCTGCCGGGCATCATCGCGGGCGCCAGCCCCACGTCGCAGCCCGCGGCCGCGCTCGCCGCCCTGCCGGGAGCCCTGCCGGCCGCCCCGCCGACCTCCACGGCCATCGCGGCCGCCTCCGCCCCTGCCTCCACCATGAGCAGCGCCCTTTCCGCGGTGCTGGGGCCTGCTGTACCGGACATAAAGATCAAAGAGGAGGTGGAGCCCATGGACATCATGCGACCTGTATCTGGTAGGCTGTTGTTCAGTGTCAAGTTGCTTGTGCCCCAAGGAATTGGGGGATTTCAACACATCCATTSAAAATGGACTTAGTATTGGTGATGCGTGACTGGGATTTGAAGTGCAAGATGAATATGAATAGAGTATGAAGCCTTAATGGCCCAGTAAATGCAACAGAAAATGAAGATTTAGTTCGCAGTTAAGCTGGGGTTCTTGAACAAATCTGGCATCAGTTTTGAACCCCTAGGAAGAAAGGGCATTAYGATGTCGATGAGGCAGTTCTTGTTGCAAGTAACAAGAGTTGCACAGTAGCAACTAGACTCCTTGCTTGTTGAAACTGCTATGCCCTTTCCTCAGTCTATAACGCAGTCACTTAGTCCTTGGGGCTACTGGTTTTTCATGCTTAGGTGATGCAACTCCAAAACCGTTGCATGAATTACTGAAAGGAAAAGCAAACAAACAGAAGCCCTCAGCAGCCAGTATGTTATGAATCCATACAGTTCGTTTCAGTCTTCTCACAAGGCCTAATGTTTGGTTTCAAGGGCTTCCTTGCATGTGAAGGATTAATGACCAGGCTAGGACCTTAATAGGGCACTACTGCAATTCATGGATATTTTATCTTGCGCTTTTTTAATATACAAATTGGTTGCCTTGCTATATAAACTATTTATAGTTGTCATCAGCCAAAATCAGTAAACTTCAAGTCCTTATGGATCTTAGCACACAGACCATAGAATGACAAAACGATAGGTATATGCCCCACATTCATGGGCAATGTGGTATCAGAGTTCTGTTTTACACGATCATTTCGTGCTTCTTCCTAAAACTGTGATGGAGGAAGGTGTTYGCTTGAGATCTCTCTGGAGTACAGCTAGATATAATTTAGCTTTTCAGGCATCCCTTGCCTTTTCTTGACCATAGGGGGTATTTTGAGTTTGGGACATCTCATCCCAGAGATTTTCTGCTGTAGACTGTGGTGTACTTGCCCAAGTTGCTGCTGATTGAGCTTATTCCCCCTGGGTGTTGAGTGTCCCCTCAGGCTGCCTGCCACTGCTGCCCAACCTCAGTGGTGTGCGACTTGTGCAGTAACCAACTGACATGGTGCTGTTGACTGTGCTCTTGCAGTCCTATCTGACTGCAGGTAACCACTGCTCTGGACATAGTRTTGTTTCAGCAGGAGCACCTCTGCACTACTGATAGCCTGTTCTTCTTTCCTGCATCTCAGCAGTCCCTCCTTTGACTACGAGTACTGTGTCTCCATCTCTGGCGTTGCTGGCCAACAACCTTTCAATGCCACCAAGTGATTTACCTCCTGGTGCCTCCCCAAGGAAGAAACCCCGCAAGCAGCAGCATGTCATCTCCACAGAGGAAGGGGACATGATGGAAACAAACAGCACTGACGATGAGAAAACCACTGCCAAAAGTTTGCTAGTGAAGGCAGAGAAGCGCAAGTCTCCTCCCAAGGAGTATATCGGTAATGYCATCTCTATTGACTTGTTTTTCCCCTCCACTCAGATGCTTTCCTTTTCATTTTCTTTCTCAGAGAACGTGCTCTGTCGCTTCTTTCAACTTCAGAAATAATACTAACCATTGTTTTTCCTGGATTCTTCTTCCTAGATGAAGAAGGTGTAAGGTATGTCCCTGTGCGTCCAAGGCCGCCTATCACGCTGCTCCGCCAGTACCGCAATCCCTGGAAATCTGCCTATCACCACTTCCAGAGATACAGCGACGTCCGGGTGAAAGGTCAGTCCTTGTCCTGTAATTGGAGCTTTCACTCATCCTGGATCYGCACCTTCAGCCTACCAGGAAATGGTGTTTTGGGAGCATTCTTAATGAGCTAATGCTGACAAGCAGCCTCCTAAATAGACTTTTCCTTGCAATTCTTGCAATTTCCTTGCAATGATCAAATGAGCTGGTAAAAGACGTGATATTTGGACGTTGCCTGAACCTCTCTCCAGCTTTCAGGATGAAGGAGAACTTGTAAGAGAGAAAGTATATACCTTTATGTCTATTGACATTGCAATGATAAAAACTTTCTTTTAAAAAAATAGCGATATGCTACACTCTGTGTGTGGTGTTTGTTTTTGKTTTTTTTTCCTCTTACTACTTAATGAAACATCCTGGAGTTACAGTAACAAGTATTGGCAACTCTCAAACGCTGTGGGGYTGGTTGGTTGGTTTGTTTTTGTTTTGTCTTTTTTAAAGTGATAATTAAGATGAGGAAAATGGGAATCAGGCACTTTTTTAAGCCCTTTTAAGCTATTTTTTAAAAGCTTTTAAGCYGATAGGGTTGTTTTTGCTCCCTCCTGGATGTTCTTATACAGTTGCAGACATATATTTCAGTGGTATAAGACAAACTCTGCAATTTTCTTGCAGGGCATTTGAAGCACTGAGCAGTGCACTTTTAAATCATGAAAATACCAAATTGCAGAACAATTGAGGCTAGCTCCACTGGGTACAACTTAATTTTTTGGAGATCCAGATGATCTGTAAATTAATGAAGGCAGCTTCTGCATATGTGGGAGATGAGTAGATATTTTAGTGTCGTAATAAAAAAATGACACTCATTCCCATTTATTGGGACATGTGGAGAGTGGGAGTTGGATTAATATTTTTGTTCATAGGAGCACAGCAGCCCTCTGTTCTCAGTGTAAATAACATATCTTTGTATTTTTTGGAGACAGAAGAGAAAAAGGCCATGCTGCAAGAGATTGCCAATCAGAAGGGTGTATCCTGTCGTGCCCAAGGGTGGAAGGTCCATCTCTGTGCGGCACAGCTACTACAGCTGGTAGGTGATGGTGACTTGCCAGCTCCCTACAACGTGGGGGAACACTAAGCGCTGTAGGGCAGGATGGTTTCTTGCAAACTCAGTACATGCTCATCTGACACTGGGATACCAGAAGGAAGCTGGTGTGTAGTGCCCAAAGGGAGTGGGAAATGCTTTCCCCTTTCTCAGGAATGTGGCTTTAAGTGGCTTGGAAACTTAAGAGTGTTGATTTTGATCCAGACATAAGAGCTGATGTATTTTGTACAGATGATCAAAATTGGCAACTCCCTTCTGCTGATGCACAGGTCTGAAGAAGCGTCTGTTTGGGATGGTGCGGCTGATCTGAGGAGGCAGCACTGATCCACATTCCTGGATGCTTCTGTTTCAGGTTGGGGGTGAGGTAGGTGCTCTGCATTCTAGCACCAAACTCCCCAAAACCTCTGCATTCCTGGAATAGTATTGTGAGAAACAGGGGAAGCACTTCTGGTTAGGATCCATGTTTGTTCAGAAATGGAGCAATCCTGTAAACAGGATGTTAGTAAGAATAGTGCCACACTTTACATCAAAGGCTCCATCTTCTGAATTACTAACATGAGCAGCTGAGAGGGGAACAGATCTGTCRTCATCTTTGTTGTGTAGCTTTCTTAATGTGGGCGAATGTTTTCTGGCCTGGTGACAACCCTTCTTATGAAGTGCTGATGTCTTTTAGACAAACTTGGAGCACGATGTGTATGAGAGACTGACTGCCCTGCAGGAGGGCCTCATTCCCAAGAAAAAGGCAGCAACCGACGATGACTTGCATCGAATAAATGAACTGATACAGGTAGGTTCCTCTGACTTAGTTGGTCAGGCCAACGTACTTGATTTACCCTTAATTATAAAATTTCCTATTGCAGTTGTTAAGAGCTAGAGATTGCTTTTTTAAAAAAAAAAAAAAAAAAATTAAGAGCTAGAGATTGCTTTTTTAAAAAAAAAAAAAAAAGAATTAAAGGTGCATTTCCAGTGTTTAAAGTCTCATTTAAAGGTGGTATTATGAAAAGGTAAAGTGATTGCATAGACTAGACAATCTGTCATTAATGACAAGAGTGTTTTGTTTCAGGGGAATATGCAGAGGTGTAAACTGGTGATGGATCAAATCAATGAAGCTCGAGACTCCATGTTAAAGGTGTTGGATCACAAAGATCGTGTTTTGAAGCTTCTAAACAAGAATGGAACTGTCAAGAAAGTATCCAAATTAAAGCGGAAGGAGAAGGTTTAAAGCCAGAGTGGCTGGAAATGGAGAAACATGTACAGAATGAAGTTGAAACTTCTTGTAGTTTGGGTTTATTTTTAAGCAGAGCATCTGAATAAAAAGGGTGAGTTTAAGGGAACAGATGGACATGGGAAGCCTGGTGACCTGAAAGGATTGTGAGCACTCTGTCATAATGAACAAAGTTTTCGCTCAGGCTCATCCATTTTAAAACTCTTTGCAGTCCCATTTGTTTAATCCTCCTGATGTGTCAGTGCCTACTAATTGGAACTAGTGATGCAAGGTGTGGTGGAGTGTGCCCTCCTGTTTTGCAGCTTAGGGGTGAATTACAGGTGTACGCACACCTTGTGTGCATGCACAGGAAACTCCAGAGCAGACAGCAAGAACCTGGCACACCCGTGAGCCTGGGCGAGCATTGAAAAAGTCACCCCTTTCAGTTATCTACTCACTTCTTCTGACCTTCCGATGTCTGAAGTAGCCTTCTCTAAACCAGTGCCACTGCACTAGATCTGCCACAGGTAGAATCTCCAGGGGTTCAGTCCTAGCTGTCAATTTAAAAAACAAAAAAGGAGAAAAAAGTATGCGGGGAATCATTTCAAAGTGATTTTTGTAGTGTCTSTGTGTTTGTCTATGTTGGTGCTCTGGGATACCTGTTATGAAGTACGTCTTGCAGCGAAGTACTTCCTGTAGCTGGTGTGATGTTAAGTGTATGTACCATATACATCTTGAAGACATTAATAAAGGACTTCGAGCTTTTTGTACATAAACAGTTTATATCCCTTTATACACAAGCAGTCAGCCTGTAGACTCAAAAGCCTTGAAGTTTTCGCTTTGAAGTRAGGTGTAGGAAAGTCACCTTGTGTTTTAGTTCCTACAGCTGTGCAAGTGCTTTCCCCTTCCCTGGGCCCTTTAACCTTGATTTTTTCCACAAAGAGGGTCTAATCAATTTTCACACTAGTTTTATTTTTACTCTTTTAARAGTATTTTGTTTACTTGCATACAAMTCAGGGAMTGATACGGCAACTTTGATAATATGAAGTTKAAGCTATGCAACCTCCTACTTTCTGTCACTGCAGGGCAAGACTCAATTTCACTCAGCTCCTCGCCGCTGCTTGTTACGCGTTGTTCTGYGCTTCAGCGGCTGGAAGCCCGCAAAGCTGGAACACACACACCCTGCTCCATTACTGCTCTRTTCTGTAACGCTAATATAATGGCGTCATCACTAATGATGACCTTCAGTCCCAGTTTCATAAACAGGCTCCACCTCCTTGATTCACTCTTGTCAAGCTGCCTCTGGCSGAGCTCGGACGTGTTTTCTCCTGACGGACAAACCCCTTTGGATGAAATCCTAGGCTTTGTTTCCGGAAATGGAGCGGCGTGCTTGGGAAGGGGAGGTGGGGGAGCGAAAGCTTCTTTCAACTGCAAGGCATGTATTTTCCTTTTAGGGCATTATAATGCCCTAAGTCAACATGGCTCTTAATCCTTTAAGAAAAATGATGAGGGCCCTAAAATAATTGTATTTCTATAGTAACCCTGATTAGATTTTCATATAAGTTAGTATTCAAACATACCRCGTAGACACAAGCGACCTCAGCCTGGATCAGTAATTTCAGTCTCCTCTTCCTTGAGGACCCTGCTCCGAGCGCCACAACATGGAGGCGGGGCGGCCGTTGGCACCGCCCACCCGGGCGGGGAGGGGGGGCAACGGTGCGACCGGTCTCCCCCCGCCGAGCCGCGCAATGGATGCGTCCGAGCAGCACCCCCCCCCCCCCCGGTGACGTACCGGCCCCCAGCCAATGGCGGGCGGGCCCCGCCCCCCGAGCCACGTGAGGGTGTTCCCCCCCCGCCCGCCGGGTTCCCTCCCGCCCCCGGCGCTGTTTGTCCTCGCACGTGCGCCGCGTCACGTGACGAGGCGGGGCGGAAGTCCGCTAAATCATCTATGGTTTCCGGGCGGGGGAGGGAAGAGCGGCCTCCCCTCTCTATGGTGTGTGGGGCGGCGCGGGGCCGCTGGGAGGCTGGCGGACCGCCGGCACCGCTCCCCCATTAGCTGAGCGGCGGCAGGAGGCTGCCGGGAGAGCGGCGGAGCTGCCCTCGGCCGCGCGCCCCGCGGGGCCGCCCCGCACGGCACGGGCCCCATGAGGCGCGAGGCGACGGCGCGGGAGCAGCAGCGGCGCCGCCGCCCGCGCTGAGCTGCCCTGATGGTGACGGCGACGGTTGCGTC